CTTTGTATCCAAAGTGCAAGTGCACTGCCTAATGTTAAAAGGTGGGAGTTGTTGGTTGTGCATCACTTTTTGGAAGTTTGTCCTAAAAGAAGGCACAACTGTCCCACTTTGCATCTGACTGGAATGACTTCCCTATTTATCTGAATTTACTATAAAATTACACCTCTGCGAAGATGGAGCACAGTCTTACCTTAACACTATTATGACGTTTATTATCCCACAGATTCTACTGAAGCAAAACTGCAAAAGTTTTGTCAGAGAGCATGGAGGGTATAGCTCATGTAAAATTAAACAATTTCAATTAACAGTCAGTAAAGCTAAATGGTGAAAGGATACACAACTCCCTTCAAGCTGCAGGACATTTAAAATTGTATTGGCAAACTATAAACAGCTTTACAACTTTCACTTCGCAGTGAAACAGCTGATCAGTTCCTGTAAGAGAAAAAAAATCACCTTTGTTGTGAAGGGACTTTAGCTTAGTTCTCTCAGCTTATAGCTCTTCCAGAAAAAGGATGTCAGTTCCAGGCTTAATTATAATCACCATTAGCTGCTACCTACCATTTAATTAGTTGGTAATAAAAGCAAGTCTCTTTCTTATCAAATCAATCAGCAGTGTCTCTCCTTTGCATTCCTTCCATTAGCTGCAAATGTTGTTATGTGGACTGGGCAGGGACAGAATCAATAATAGTTCAATGTGGGGGGGAAAAAAACAACCCCAAAAGCTAAAAATAATATAATTTAGAGAGGCAACTCAAACAGTCAGCTACCAAAGGAGATAGAAACTGAATTCTTCATTGCTAGTGCCAATTCAAAGTGAAAACAGATTGAACCAGAACTGTCCAAAAATGCTTTCCCATTTTGTAATGCTCACACCCCTAACGCCAGACAGGGCCCAGCTGTTTCTGCGACTTCAAACAATAGCTGGGCTGTTTAAAAGTTTAAAAGCTGTTTAAAATAGGGAATGATGTTTGCCTAAAGACATACCCTATTAATGCAAATTGCTTTCAAATGCACATCCAGTTTCTTAAGCAAAACAAAAACGAGATATTAAACGGAGTGGAAGTTACTGCTAGAGCCATACATGACCTGTCAGCCATAATTCAGTCACCCATTAGGGACTGCATGGAGTGAGCTTGCATTCAGGGAGAAACACAGCAAAAGGGGCCTCTGTATCAAAGGAAAATGTTTTTCATTTCACTCTTCCTACTTTAGAAAGGCTTTAAGACCATAGAGTCTGTGTCTCCTTTTTGGACCTTCCAATTACCACCAGACGAAACTCTGTGTTTGCTCCTTCCAAGGTGCTGCACACCACTCGTGCCCATGGCTGTTAGTCATGCTGCCACAGTGCCTTCCTATCAGCTTAAGCACTGACCTTTAAGAAGTTGTAAATGTTATTTCAGCTTTAATATTCTGATATTAATGTCTCTGGAAGTGATTAACAACACTAGCTTTATGTCTTTAGGTCCTTGCCTATTTGCTCACCACCTTCTGCTAATGTAACTTAATCATCACACACTGCAGCACCCCAGGTTTCTATTTCTGGTTCAGTGAGATTGAAGTAGTAATAAGCAGAGCACACTGTACCATCAGTGGTTTCATTGCTCCTGAAAGCAAGAGGATTAAGATTCATTTTGTTCTGTGTGTCATCTTTCTCATCTGTACAATGGAGACAACACAGCTATGGCTGAGAGACAGAGAGGCTTCCTCACAACAACAATTACACTCCCATCTGTTAATTTTTTGTCAGTTATCTTTGCAGTATAGTTGTGAGATTCTTAAATAATCAAATTTGTGTAACTAACAAAAAAGTACTCATGGCAAAGATCTCCAGGAATGTGCCGACAGACAGCAGACATGTTTCCCTGATCCAGACTCAGCAGTCAGCAAAAAGAGTTGAAAGACAGGAAAGAGACTAGTTTAGATACAAAGGAGAGGATGGCAGGAACGTTAAGATGACAATTCAAGAAAATTTCTTGGAACAGTCACAAAAATGGAAATCAGCTGGAAATCCACCATTTCCATGTATAGTGTACAAGAATAATGCTTAGACAGTGAGTAAAGACCATCTCATGGTAAAATGTTACATCACTGCATGAGAAGTCCCAGTTCTTGTGGTGATGCTGACTGTGCACCATTTCCACACTGTTATGTCAACACTTAACTTGGAGAAGATAAAAAAGAAATCTATTGGATTTGACTCCTCCTTTATCAAGGGGCAAGGTCACTCGTCATGGCCTGTGTGCTCACTTCACCTCACCTTAAAAGACTTTTCAAAATTTGCCTAACAAATATGTTGCTTGTTAAAAGCCCTAACATCTCTTTAAATAAATATTTCTTAGATAAGCTTTTTAAATTACAAAAAAAAAAAAAGTAACTTTCTTGATATGTTAAAAAGATTTATCAGCAACAGAAAATATATTAACGTGTCCTAGTGCAGGCTCCCTGCACCTGCCTTGCACTGGTGTCACTGACCTGACCTTCCATGGAGCCAACTCAGCCAAAGGGGAAGAACAAACACAGCAAATGCACGAGCAGGGCTGAAAAGGTGCCACGGTCCGTGAAAGTGGAGGGACCAGCTGAGCCTCTGCCAGCCCCACCGGGAGAAAATTCCCATTCCAGGCACAACAAGGCAGCCCCATCCCATCCCAGCTGGGCTTCAGCAGGAGACAAGACAGCAGCACACTCCCCATCCTCTCTCCTGGCTGCGGTGACAACATTTTGTAGGGACTTCAGGACTCAGGGACCTGCTAAGGGAATGAAAGAGCTCTTTTTATATAGCCTGGATATGGCCAAAGGGATGCAGGGACCGAGGAAAACTGAGGCAGCAATTCCAGCACCTGGGAGCGGCTTCCCTTGGGTCGCACGGCGGCGGCCCCGTGCTGCCACCTGCGGGCAGCGCCGGGAATGACCGGGACCAGCTCCGCGAGTGACCGGGACTAACACCGGGAATGACCGGGACTAACACCGGGAATGACCGGGACTAACACCGGGAATGACCGAGACCAGCACCGGGAATGAGCGGGACTAGCGCCGGCAATGATCGGGACCAGCACCGGGAATGAGCGCTCCGGGACCCGGCACTGGGAATGAGCGCTCATAGACCCAGGAATGACCGATACCAGCACCGGGAATGAGCGGGACCAGCACCGGGACTGAGCGATCTCCGCACTGGGAATGAGCGCTCCGGGACCCAGGAATGACCGATCCCAGCGCCGGGAATGAGCGCTCCCAGCACCGGCAACGACCACGGCCAGGAATGACCGCTCTGGGACCAGCACTGCCCCTGAACTCCTGCAGGAGTTCCCGTAGGAACACCAGAGCCAACTTCCAGTCTCGGCTCCTTCTTCTCATCGCCTTGGCAGAGTCCTGGATTCTTTTGAGGTCAATTATTCCAAATTTCAGAATGCAATTCATTCTAATCGACACATCACTTCTGCAATGTCACGTCATGTTTTAGCATCATTGAAGCCACTCCTGTGTCAAGTCTGTTTTATTACAGAGCCTAAATAGTAAAAAAAAATTATCCAAAGGCCTGGTTTTACTCTTTCCCTGCTTTTTTGTCTGCTAGGTCTGTGCAAAACTACATTTCCTCACACATTAACTATTTAAAGCATAGACAATTTCACTTTGCAGAGGAAACTCAGAATGCAAGTTTCCTCTTCTTTCCAAAATGACTGAATTATCTCAGAACATTGTTACATAATGCTACAGAACACTCCAGTATTATCTGTTTCAGACATGAATAATTCCTCTGTATTTAACAACTCCTCCACAATTAGTAAATTAAAATATTTTAAATTTGGCATCTGTTCAGAATATGTATTGCTTTAAAAGATATTAATACATATCTACTGGTCTAAAAATGTAATATAATGAAATTAAATTATCTTTATAAAATACAAATCAGAATAGTGATGCAAATATTTGCATTTGCATAGTTATGCAAACTCTTAATCATGAAGAACAATCACTGCTGCTAAAAAGCATAGACCACTAGGAATGGCTCCTGACGAGGTCAAAGCATTCTTTCTTGATTTCCAAAATGACACATTTATAGCTTCTAACTACTGAAATAACAATTTGAAAGTTCAGAGATAAAAATATCTTTTATTACTACATTCACATTCCACTCTATGCAGTCTGATTTTTAGATGTCAGCACAGAATGAGTCAGCTTTGTTATTAACAATTCAAATGAACAATATATATTCAGCAAATTGATCAAGGAATTTAAACAACTTCTAAAATTAATTTTAACAAAGCAATCTGCTGCTTAGAATTTGTAACACAAATGGAAATAGCACAACAAGAATAAAGTTAACAATATTATTTAAGCAATTATCATGAACAAAAGTACTCTTCAGTCCTGTCACTGGTAAGAACAAATGAACTTACTGAAATTTTACCAGCAGGAAAACAGACACAGAGCAATCAATATGAAACTTTATGAACACTGAAGTAACAGCTCTGTAATGGTGAGACAAAACCAAAGAGGAATTTCAATGAATTTGAGCCCTCTGACTTCTCAGGGTTTGCTATAAAAGTGGAGGAGGTTTCTGTTACCAAAGTGGTAATTCCTGTTCATGTGTTTGACTGAGATGATTGATGAAGGTCTTGGTGAGGCCTTTGCTGTGGTCTCTATAAATGGGATTATTTACTGTAAGACTGCAATGATCTCCTGCTAATACCAACATCCTCCCTTATCTGCTCACCGTGCACAGAGATACTGGGGACACTGTGTGGCAGTTAAAGCTCCTGGCACTGCTTTGGGTGACAGAACAGCTGCTGAATTAAAGAAGTTATCCTACAGCAGCCATGCAGACATGTTACCAAGCCCAAGATAAAGATGTTTTGTTAATAAATTGGTAAAAGCTTAAAAGTTTCGCTTTTAACGGGCCATTCAAAGTAAAAAAAGTTAAAGTGGCTGTTGCTGTGAGCCTGCAGCTCCTCTGGGGTGCACAGCACAGGAATTCTCTGCCCCTGACCACAGCAGAGCGAGCAACCCAAACTATTTAATACTGGTCAAATTCCACACCATAAAGAAGTTAAACACAGATGGTAATCTTGAAATTGGGATGAGGCATTTCAATTCAATTTAGTTGTTAAATGACCTAATATTATTAATATCTGTTATTTATGCTGGTGCTTATTTATAATGAAATGTAACATAAGAATAGCAGCATTAAAGATGAATATTTAAAAAGTATTTAAGATTTTATGAGCAGGCTTCCAAGTATTAATTATAAATGACAAAAAAATGTGTGAACAGTGCATAAATGGCAATTGTGATCACTGTAATGAATCATAAAAATTAATAGTACTTACTGTAATGACTCTAGTAATTATTAAGAGTTAAACCCAGTAGTTCTTATAACCTAAGGAAAGTTAGAGAATTGTATTTGACGGTAAAATTTTTTCTGATTTTTAAGTATACTATAAACATGAACTTTACTAAAAAACACAGTTGTGCTTTATTGAAGAGCTAATTAAAAGCAAAGTCGTGGGAGTGGTTTGGATCTGGTGCTAAATGGAGGATCACAAACTTAGATGGGAATATTTGCAAGGCTGGTTAAAGGAAGGATAAAGAAAACAGATCCCACCTGCATTCAAAAGAGTCAGCTTAGGGCCACAGAAGGTTTTATATTCCCAGAATGAGGGGGTCCTCCACACTTCTCTGTCACCCTGTTCCATTTTTGTCATGCAGTTCTGTCTGCCCAGCTAACTGAGCTGAGAAAAACTCAGACAAAAAATTACTTTCTAATTACCAGTAGTATGAGGCATAAAAATGGTGCTTTTCCACAAAATTGTGTCATGCATTCTATTGCATCATGAATTCGATTAGAAACTAAAGTGTTTGCAGAAAGGAGATTTAGTAAATGTACCTTGTACTAAAAAATCATTGCCTTTCATGTGCTCACCTCAGCAAAGTATAAGCACTGAAATTCAGGCAGCTCTCAGTGATACTGAGGGATAAATTTGCCTCAGATCAGTCTGCAATTCTGTGAGAAAAGCTGGAAACAGACAAATGCAAGGGGAAACAACCCATCTATTCTTTAATAAACTACTCTGGAATTAGCTGCTTTTCCCCATTCAGTTATTATATGTGTGTCATAAACCAGAGAAAGTTGCCTCTAACTTTCACACTTTGCAAAGGTATTTTCAGGTTCCACAGTAGGAACTGCAGCAAGAAGAAACATGAGCACAGAAGGGCTTCAACAGCTTCCAACCAGCACCTTTTCCATCTTTCTAATTGGAGGTAGTTCCACACTTTAAACTGCTCAGTTACAACTACTGAGAACAAGGAGGACCAGTCTGTTTGTGCATTATTTGTCCATCATGCTGAGGATCCACTTAAGGAGTTGCTGCTGTTCCGTGTTCCCTCGGAGCTGCTGTTTCTGTCCCATCTAAAACAGGAACAATCTCACTGGCACAATGTTCATTTTTCACAGTAGAGTTATCTTGGAATGATCTCAGGGCAACTTTGAAAAAAAAAAAAGAAATATTGGGATGATTAACTAGAAAGACAAGAAAATATTTCAATAAATTTAACAAGTATACAATTTAATTTAGTGGAGAAAATGCTGCCAATACGTAACTACAGCACATCTTTTATCTTGCACTTTACTTGGGGAATGAATATATCTTCTGTTGAATATTACATTCCAAGACATGTTACTGAGTTTGGTATTCTCATCAGAGCAAAACTAAGCACTTTTTAACTGGAAATTTAATTATCATATGCATCTTTTTTTCTTTTTTAATTATTAGCAACAGCAAATCGCTGACAGCCCCAGTCTCACAAGTCATCATCTGCAAAGCCACGCTGAGGATCCCACAGGCCCCTTCAAGTTTTGCAAGAAGTGGACAGGGATATATAAATACTTGCAAATGTCAGTTTTGGGGAAAAACCTTCTGGAACAGCAGAGAAATTTCTAGGTTTTGTGTGAGTCAATTAATGAATTGAATATTTGCATGAACAACATCTGAAGATACATTATCACAGCTCTAGAAAAACAAGCTTTCAGATGAAGGTATTTACAAGATACCAAAAAGAAATTGTTTGCGTGTAGGAAAACATTAATAAGCAGCAAAATCTAATTACTGCAAAAACATAAACACTGCAGCTGAGACACTTCTCTCTAACCATACCATTACAGCCTCACCAGTGAAAACAGAAGTGTCAATGCTAATGTAAACTCAGCTGCTGATATATATTCATTAGATTCAGAATAGCTCCAACATTTCTTCTTCTCACCACAAGTTTTCTCAGTGCAGATACAATCTAATACACCAAAAAGTGAGGTTTAGGGACACCTAGGCCTAAACTGTATCTCCATTCTTGTCTCTTACTCCAAAAAACTCATCAGAAAGCGATGCTAAAAAGGGAGTTTAGGAACTTGATTGCAGGAGCAGGGAACAGCCCAGGGTGGTACCTGTGCAGTGACCCAACTCACATGACAAGAATTTCTGACACACAATAAAGCCTGTTCTGAAGTATTCTTCCATTATTAGCTTCACTGTGAAACAGTAATTAAGCAGCAGGGAAGATTCGCTGCCTTAGCCTTTTAGTCTTGATTCTAATTTACATGATTAAATTCTGACTTAGTCACTGATTACCTTCTGGCTTAGCACGCTTTGGGCTCTCATGGATTTTATTTTTGCCTTTGCTTCCTTTTCTGGGTGTAGCAGTTTTTGCCCTCACCAATCCACAATTTTCAGCATGCTTACACATATTACTCTGTTAGCATAATGAAGAACAAATACATCAATCAACTATTAATCTCTGTAAGCAATTTAACACACACAAAGCAAATATGGTTTGACAGACAAATTCTGGAACACTAAGTGGAAGACTGACTTAGTTAACAACTTCCATAAAACTCCTGAAGATTTTCCAGAATATATATTAAAATTCTGCTTTAAAAGAACATTGACATTTGGTGAGTATAAAATAAAATTTATAATTTTCTGGTTCCTGGATAAGCAATAAAGTTTTATATGTAAAATCTGTATGTGAGAAAAGGGTCACATTTACTTTAAAGTGTGCACAGTTAACCCAAAATGAGAAAATGTTCTCATTGCATATGGTTTTGAAGTGAATAATAATTTCTTACTTTCCTTGCTGAACTGGTCCTAGCTATCCCTAAAAGTAGTCTTTAAAAGAAATTTTCAGTTCAGACCGAATTTATTCTGCATCACCGCTGAAAAATCACATTTCAGGCTCAAACACTACATTTTGTTCTGTATCACAACAGCCCTGAAAGTGATTGCTCTTATTTTATACTTCTAAGCAGTCCACGTACAAAAGATTTATCAAGAAGACAGATTCATCTTTTCAGCATTTCAATTTCACTCTTTATTTGTGAAGGGTTTACCCTGGAAATAAGCACCACTACACTATTTTATTTGGACTGCAGTCACAAAAGTTTTTATTTTCTTAAGGTAAATATAACCCCAAAGCCAACTGTGCCTCGCCAACACCAGCACCAGAGCAAGCAGTACTTTCCCAGGGAACTGAAATACCTGGCTACATGTGCAGCTGCACTGAGCACATCTGAATCTTTTCTCATTCCTGTGAGTCTTCCTGTGCTGGAGGAAAGCGTAGCGCTCATGGAAAACTGCCTCACAGTCCCTGCACTTCACTGCCTCTTCCATGTAGGAATGCAGATTCCTCAGGTGAACACCTGGACAGTTATTTAAAACAACTCATCTGAACAGCAAGGTTTTTATTTTCACAGTTTTGAACAAGAGTTGGGCTCTGTATAGCCCTGAGTAATGCAAACCTTGTAGAGGAAAACACGAAAGAACCTTCCGTGCTCTCTGCAGAAGGGGCAAAACAGACAAATTAGTTTAAGATTAAACAAAAGCTGCAGCAAGATGTTGTAATTTCCTAAAGAAATCAAGCCTGAATCTTACTGATTTCAGTGGAAATCATTTAGCAAATCAAATACTTCAAAAAAACCCAGTTTTAATACAGCGTTTTCACGTATTTCTGGAAACTTAAAATTCTACATAGGTTTTGTTGTTACTGATCAGCTCCGTTGCTGCCAGCACTTCTTCTGAAAAAAACAGAAGGTCACAGTGCCATAGGTCACAAGCAAATTAAAAAAAAAAAAAAAAAAAAAAAAGAAAAAGCTAAGTATTTGCTACTTTGCATTTTAAACAAATTAAAGCATCAACCACAAGATGTCACCACATCTCCTTGCAGGAGGAACTTACCTATAAAACTACAAATACGTTTTACTTATAATATTCTATGATAATATGAAGTCAGCTATAACATATTTGGTGAAATTTTGTGAAAATTAGAGATTGCACCTCTACTTATCTCTACGTTTCATTTTCAGTGTTTTCCTTTAAACTCACCCAAATCACTTTTTCGGGAAAGGAAAGTACTGCAGTGTGGACATTGGTGTTTTGGCACATTTTCTCCATGCTTCTGTAACATATGGATTTTCATGGTACCACTTTGAGTGAATCTGGCTTGGCAAACATAACATTCATAGGGTTTTTCACCTATTAAAAAGAAATTAAAATAACATATGCTTAGAAACTCTACTTACTTGATAGAAATTCAAATTCATACAAAATTCAACATCCATGTTCTAACAGCAAGTTTCCAGATCAAGCAAAAGTTAATATTAGTTGACAGTGCACAAAAGGACAAACAAGTCTCCAGACGTTTACATAACTGATTGCAACACAAAATCTTGGCTTTCCTGAGTCCACAAGTCAAACTGATGAAGCATAAAGCTATTCATATAACTAAACTAGGAAACAGGAATTATTTTAATTATCATCTATTCTTCCTTGACTACTTCTTGTACGAAAATGCAGAATTATCTTCAAATATGCAAGAAGAGCAAGTCAACAGCAGTAAAACATCTTGATAAGAGTGACACACCACCAGCCATTGATAATGGTGGGAAGGGAAATTATGAAATTATTGTCTTGCCTTTCTTCCCTAAAAAGCCACATCAGGGGTGACTATCATGAAAAATTACATTAACACTGGCAACTGGCACAGCTTTGAACCAAATCCAGACTGGTTTTGTGGAAGAAGTTCCTGCCAGTAGTGGGTAACATTCCTGAACTCTTCCAGTTGGACTCTTGTGGTTCACTCTCATAAAATTAATTCTGTTTAATTGCACCAAACTGTCTCAAGACATGAACCAATGTGTGACAAGTGGGGATATTTGGAAAATTTGATTCCAACCACGCTGTCACACTCTGATTCAACCTAAAACGTTAATCAGAGCACAAATTACACATAATAACTGAGCCAAGTTAAACCCTGAAATTTAGGATTGATACCCACTACCCCTGAGATGATTCACATGGTACAGAGCTATGACAAGAACACACTGCTTTCAATATTAAAGCAACTAAATTCTTTGTTGACCAAGTCAGTTGCTGGCAATCTGAGGTCACAACAATATCCATGTTCTGAACAGATATTTAAAAATCTCTCATAGATACCTTTCCATGTAAAATCAATTAATTGAGAAATAAAAGTGACAACTTGATCCACAGAAAATGAAATATTTTTCTGATACAAAAGTTTAGGAGGAACAGCAAGACTAACTACTAGCAGTGCTGGGCTTCCAACTGCCACATCCAGAGCACTGAAAGAGAACACGTTTCTACTCCAAATCACAAATAAAAAAACCGACTAATTCTGAGGCTGAAATAAGATTGCTCTAACCTTATGAATATTAAGGAGCTGAGGTCCAGGACTTGATCATCACCCCAGAACCTTACCAGTGTGAGTTAACATGTGCCTTTTCAGTTTGTAGGCATCTTTGCTTGCATAGCTGCACAGGTGACAGGGGTAGGGCCGCTCTCCCGTGTGCGAGCGAACGTGGCGTCTCATCTTGCTGGCCTCAGATAAAAAGGAGAGATTTTTCTAAAGTGACAGCTACATTAGAGATATATTTAATCAAAATAGAAGTAATTTTACGTACTACACCTTACTGCAGTTTAGAACGTTGCATTAATCCCAGAATTAGCACTCTCACATCCATGTTTTTCCCTGCACAATCAGACTGTTGTGGTTTTAGGACACTTCTGCACTCTTTCCTCATATTATTTTACTTCCATATTTAGTGTCCACATTAGCAAAATGAGAAATTTTATAATAAGAACAAAAGAGATAAAATTTTAAAAAGAGGATACCTACTACTGTCAGGTTACTTGGATATACCAAATATAGAATTCTTTGAAAGCACCCAGGAAAATAAATGAAAGACCAAACTTATTATCCAGAGTCTATTCACCTCCAAGTCCCAATGAAGCACCTTAGTTACAAAGTTTAATTCAATTCTACTTTTTTATGCTGTTTTTCTGATATGTTCTACATAAATATTGTAGGTACATGATTAGGAGTTATCAAATATTCAGTTCCTCCGTTTATGAACACAATTAAAGAATTCACTGCTATATTCCTTCAAATCTACACCACTATTCACTTAAATAAAATTAAATATGACTGCCAACCTTTTCTACACAAAAGACAAATAATTTGCATGGCAGTACTGGAAAGCTCCTTTAGCTTTCCTCATTCAGGTAAAGCTTCCAGGAATGAGAGTTCTCTAACACCAGTGAATGCTGAATAGCTCCTTATTGAAACAAGGGAAAGAATGGGGTAATTTAGTATCAGCTGTCAGAGTTTTTAAAGATGCAAGCTATCAAAAATCTAATTATTAAGATAAGGTGCATGGAATAAAGTTCAGAATTGCTTACAGCTTTAGATCTGGACACAGCACAAATTCAGATATTGAGCATCCACTAAATTGTGACAGTTATTCAATCACAGGTGCATTTCTGAAAGCCTGTGCACCCAATTCAATTGCAATTTCCAAATGCATCCTAAGTAGACTCTAAGGTATTTTGTTCTTGAAGAAAATTCTAGTCCTGGAAAAAAACCCCAAACATCATCAAATATATAAACACAATACATGAACTTCTTTTTAGACATTAGCTCATATTGTCCTACAGTACATGGAATGTAGTGTAAATGAGGACCAAGAATGCTTTCGTAGGGCCAAAATCACACAAACACATTGTCTAGCAGCAATTTTAACATAACAAAAAAGAAAAAGCTCTTAAAATGCAACTAGTTTAAAAAATCCTAAATAATTGTATGTATTTGGAGCAAGACATTTGCAAATACTACATGGACAAAGTAAGTGTCCCAGAAATTCAGGTTACTTGTTCCTTATTTGCAGGATGAGGGAATGAAAAGATTGAAATGAAATGAAATGAAATGAAATGAAATGAAATGAAATGAATTAAATGCGTGGCACAGTGAAGGTGTAGCCATCAGACACCTTGCAGTAACATAACAGATAAATACAATCCATCAGTGTGTCTGAGGCCATCAGCAGAGCTTGGACTTCCCATGGTTAAAAATCTGGGCAAAAATTATTAAAATCTTGGCATGTGAAAACCTTCACACACTCCCAAAAGATTCAGTAAGGCTGTACTTACTTCTACACTGGAGTATTCACATATTGTGCACTTGAAAGGCTTCTCCAAAGTGTGTTTGTACCTCCTGTGTCGTGAAAGCTCCCCTCGGGTCACAAAGGCTGTGTCACATTCACTGCATTTATGGGGTTTGTTCCCTGCAACAACACACCATGAGACTTTTATTCAACATCACAGCAGTGTGATTTGTCTGCTTTAAATGAACATTTTTAATAGAACCTTTTTTGATATCTGATTTTTTTCATACAATAAATCATAGAATGATTTGGATTGGAAGGGACCTTAAAGCTCATTTTGTTCCACCTTCCACCCCCTGCTCTGTGCAGGGACACCTTCCATTATCCCACGTTGCTCTTAGCCCTGGTCAACCTGGACTTGGACACTTCCAGGGATGGGGCAGCCATGACTTCTCTGGGCAACCTGTGCCAGAGCCTCACCGCCCTCCCAGGAAAGAATTTCTTCCATATATATGCACACAATAAGTTTATTATAAACACAATTTATCACTTTGCTCCATATGTTAAACATCACAGAAAATTCTATTCTGCATGTAGGAATGAAGCACAGCTGAAGTCACTGTTCAGCTGACAAGAATTGTTAGAATGGTACTTTACAAAACAAACAAATACACACACACAGAGTTTCTAACTACAGACCATGTCTTTTCAGTGTGGAACACCACAGAAAATCAGAGGAATTTCTGAGCATAAAATGATCACAGAACACAGCTCTAAGGCAAAGCCACTTACTGTTAATTCAGTTTTGAAGAGAGTCTGTGACATGAAGGATTTTCAAGCACTAGGTACCTGTGTGTGTGTTCACATGGTTGTGCAGCAGAGTTGCTGTACGGAAAACCTTCGGGCAGAGGTGACACACGTGATGTTTCTCATCTGAATGGGTTTTCAAATGACGCCTAAGACTTGATAACTTGACTGAGGTGAATGTGCAGAAAAAACAGTTGAAACATTGTTTTTCTCCTGTTGGAACAAAGACACATTTACACTGTACATGCCACAGAATAATGACTTCACTTTTTCAAAAAACAGTACCAATTTCTAAAGAGTCCCTCTAGTCTGGGTAAAACTACTTCAAAATTCTACATCAAAGAATTCATTAAGACTTTAGTGAGTTGCCCCCAGAATTGTGTCATTTGTTAGTGATACAGTTTAGAATCTAATCCCAGGAAACCTAACTCCTACCCTTGCTCTCACCTCCAAGACAGGATGAGACTTCCTCTCTCAATACCATCATTAAGACTTACAACCTGTGCAACAAACTTCTTGACAACCACTGTGTCATTAGCACTAAGTAAGATTATGAAAAAAATTGGAAGTGGCAGGGGAAGTTATTCCCACTTTTCTGGTGCTCCTGAATCTGTAAAGTGCATATAAAAAAAATCATGATGTAAAAGCTTCTTTAAAATTACTGTCTGAATTTGAGGGGAAAAACATCAGTCCTTTGGAGAAGTCATAGAGTAATGAATTTCTTTTGAGAGTAACAAGTTAAGATTAAATGTGCAACACTTTCAGTTATGAAGAAGATTTGAAACTGTGAAATGGCAGATACGTCACATTTGAGGAGTCTTTCCAGAACAGTTGTCTCAGCTCCCAAGTGTGCTCTCTGTAATGATTTTCATGCTGAGACCAAAATGCATTTTATACAATTCTTTATACCACACAGAGATGTGCAGATAACACTTCACTTCAGTAACAGCAAACAAAACCACTTTATTGTCATTTATTCATTGTGGATTCATGCCCACACAAAGGAACATTGTTAGCTTTGTTAAAACTGCTCAAATGTGCTTCCTATAAAGGCTGTAACTGAAACAGGGGACATTAACAATTTGTACAGCATCCATAAAGAACCTCAGCCAAGATACCTTAACTTCCAGATACAACACACTCATTTACAGACTCAACAGCATTGATGTCATCCAATTTTACAGTACACACACAGTTTCTAGGGAAGCAGATGCTTATCTGTTCTCTTCTGAGTCAGTCCTTAACTTCTGTAACATACTTTTAGGTGTCTAACATCTTAAATTAGCCATTTTCTGTTACTCTTATTTAGGTTTTGGGAAAGGCTTAGCTGACAGGTATTGGTTGGTAATTGCCCAACAACCTCTGCTGGCAACATGGAACCACTCTAAGTTCAACCATAAACCCTCAGAGAAGCACATTTTGAAGGTGAGTGAGTGAATCAAGGCACTAAATAAATTACTAAGCTTATTCAAAGGCACTTATACAATATTAACTTTGAAATCTCCCTGGAGGTTTCAAATACCACACACTGTTCAAAAGACCATTAATTTCTAAATGCCATCCAAAATGTCTCTCCTGAACACAAGGCAGATGTCATGAGCCTGAACAAGATCTTCAAGCACTTAGGGCTGAAGGTATCATTTCTCCTTCCAAATTTCCACAGAATGTTAAGACTTAACCTAATCCAAACTTAACAATTACCACTGTGAGTATTTAATGTAAAACTTCAACCTCACTTCAAAATCTTACTTAACATGCTTTATCTAAAAATGAACCACAAACTTAACTTTTTACCTTTTTCTTGATGTGCAGCACAAGCCTCAAATTTTACATTCTTGAGATTTCTTACAACTGTTTGTTCTGATGCAGTTGGATATTCCTGCTCTTTACTTCCATTGAATAAGTCTGACAAATCATCACCCTCTTTGCAGCTCTGACTCTTTGTTTCCCCAACAGTGGAAAAAACTTCCTTTCCTTCCCCCTCTTCAGATGGGCTCAGTTGCTGGATGTTATTTTCAAATGCAATGGCATCATTATCTCTGTCAATCTATTTCAAAAAAGAATATGTTTTACAACTTTCTCAATTAAAGGCAGTCGCTAGTGGCAAATCAACTGAGCAGTCAACAAAATGCAAGCCTCCAATTCATTCTGATTTTCAGTCTTACATGTGATGGACAAAACTGCAACAAAAAATTTGCATTTAGCATACAGCAGCCTAACTGGTAAGTTACAATTAATTAAGAATAATTACTAAAATTATGCATGTCCTCTTCAAACTCTTATATAAAATTTCAGAGCATAATTTTAAGATTGCAGTGCTGAGAACACAGAAACCCATATATTTCTTTTTTAAAGAAAATATTTAAAATTTCATTTAAGTATGTTTACCTTTTAAAAGAAAATGAGAAGTATGCTCTGTTTTTTTAAAAAATTTAGGATTTCTGCAGGCTAATTGTAATGCCTTCTTTGCCATATAGCAATTAACCAAGTTGTGATATTTCTTGCATTAGCTAGACTCAAATAGGGCAGTATGACCTACCTCAGAAATGACCTAGTGATGCATGAATTTCATAAGAAAAAATAGTATTTTATTGTAAAACCAATATAATAGGTAGCACAGAACAAAAGCACAGTGTTTGCATGTCCTTTTTAATAAAATTAATTTCAAATGGGACTGTATTGTATACCCAACTTTAATGACCACTGCAGGATTGAACTAATTGAATTAAGGAGAAAAAGGGAAATTCTGTAATGCCACTTAAGAGGTGGGGGCTATCAAACTGGTGAACTAAATTAAAAACTTGTCGGAATTTCAACAGCTAAATGTCATCTCAATATCATTTTGATAATCTGGGTCTCTTCAAACTCACAATATTCTCTGAATGTAGAAAGTCTAAACTTCTAGTTTATCCTTTTAAAAATGAGATGAAATTGTAAAAAGATGTACAGGGGACTGGATACTTAAGCCCAACAAATCTGAATAAATAATACTGATGAGTAAGTCAGAACCAAATCGACGTGATAGTTAAAGCTAACAGGGAACACCATATCTCTAATTTCACTTTATCCAGAACTTGTACCTCCATCAGGGGCGTGTCTGGCGGTTTCTCTGTCACCTTGCTTTCTGCACTCTTTTCTTGCCCTTCTTCTTGCAAAATATGGATCTGTGCCAGCTCCAAGTCATAGAACACACAGATGCCATCCCGCAGGCTCAGGGCCATGCTCGAGGGCGGCACGGCCTGGCTCGGCCCCAGCAGCGCCACTGGGCCGGCCAGGGCAGGAGGGCCCTGTGTGTTCCCTCCGTGTCCTGCTCCTCTTCACACACACTGAGTGTAGGCTTGGCCTTCTTCACCTTCCTCAGGAGAACAGGCAGGGCCCTGGGGGTTCCCTTCTCATCCTGCTTCCCTTCACACACATTGAACGTAGGCTCGATGTCCTTCACCCTCCCCAGGACACAGGGCCCGTCCGCACTGCGTTCTCAGCCTGGCCTCGCCATCCTTCCCGCTGCTGGCCGTGGCTGTCCTGCAGCCCTAAGGCCCGGCAGGCTGCTGAGGGATCCTGTTCGAGGTTAAACACGAGGGCAAACCATGGGTGCTCAGGACCAGTCTTGGCCCTGCCTCGCCCCCTCAGTGCTCCTCGCCCAGTGCTGTCATGGCCCAAGGCCCCTCACGGCCACTGCGGGGAGTTACCCCATGGGGAGCTGGGTTCTCCTGGGCTGTTGGGCCAGGCAGGCCAGGATCATTGGGCCAAGGCTGCCCCTCGAGAGGAGGAGGCAGGGAAGGGGCTCAGCGCCTGCCATGAACCTTGGCATGGCTGCCCTCTGCGTCCCTGTGCCGCTCCCTCAGCAGCGGCTGGAGTGGGAGCCCACTCACAGGTAGTGGCTTTTGGGAAACAGCTGCTTCTCACCTGTTAATTCCCTACAACACACAAAGCCCTGAACCTGCAGATGTTTCCCTCCCAATGCACCTTGGTCCCCAAGTCCTGTCAGAGCAGCTGCCATTTTCGCACCCTCTGAGCAAAGACTAAGATCTCTCGGCCTTAATTGTAGGCCCTTAACCTTCTGCTCCCACTTGGCTGGAGACCACGCAGCTGAGCTCAATTGGTTTCCTCACTTGGGAGATATCTGAAGCAGTTGCCACATTTCTGTGACAGAAAGCCTCCAGCCGGGAGCCCTGTGCTGGAGTGCCGCTGAAGGGCCGCCTGATGCTGCCTCCACAGAAGTGTTGTACGAAATTGGCTCAAGTGGCTTTGCAGAGGCAGTGGAGCGATGTATAAGCATCGTTACACTGTACCTTAGGCCAGGATTGGTTATTCAGTGAGAATAAGCTGAAAGACTTCTCCAAAGGCATTGTGAAAATGTCTTTGAGGTAAACTTGCACAGTTTGAGTGACTTAACATTTAATCTTGTGTACCTTTCTAGACTAGTAATTTCCAGCCATCAAACATTTTATAAAACCCACTTACTTTGAATACTCTATTATATGCCAGTGCAAAGGATAGATTTGGAGCTTTACCTCTAAATATTAGCTTGGTGCATTGCAGGGTACAGTACATTGCACAGGGACTGCAGCCCAGTGTGGTCCAGATCCTGCTAAACTGAATTATTGAACACTAATCAAAACCCCAGACCAAGTGGTGGCTTTCCTTGTCTGTGGAAGTAATCCAGTACAACTGGCATTTGTGAAATATCTGTAGCACAAACAGCAGCCCACACCAGTGGCCTTTGAGCAGTACCCTCAGGTGAGGTGAGGTTATTTGACTTCATCTTCAGAGACACCAACTGAAAATCCCTTGACAACAACCACTCTTATCCACAGTTCTGTAAAATCTTAAATGCAGAAATAATACAACATGTTTACATTTAACAACTGCAACTTAGTCATAACTATTCTACTGCTTGGAATCAACATAAATCCAAAGCAATTATTTAAGGCTGAATATCTATTCCAGCAAGTTAGTGCTGTTATTTTGGTTAGACACCACATTATTCATCATCCATGGATCCACGGGCTCTCAAAACTAAAGAACATGATGCCGAGTACACAATATATTCACATAATTAGGCTGCCAGTAACTCTGGCCAGAGATTTTACTTCTTACACATTTTCTAAATCTTTTCGAGTTGCTCTGTATACTGTGCAATTATGATAGTTGAAGGGCGCTGTAGGAAAAAAGTTGTTACAATAATACACCATCCTTTAGGTTGTTTTAATGAGGTTTTCTGCACTTCAGCAGTCATCAGCTTCTAAGAGCTGTCCTGCCTTGCACTTCTGCATTATTAATATCAACACCATCCACACAGCTAGAGTAAAGGTCTGCCATTATTTCCATTATTAACCGATATTTCCAAGGATTTACGGCTCAAACACAGAATAGCCCTTCAGTTCATTTTTTGCTGAATTTAAAGGAACTACTTGGATCAGCAATCTATGAATTCAACCAGTTTCTGAGTAGGTTTTGACACACTAGAGGTTAACAGCTCCATAATGGCCATTATGGTGTGTTGTGTGTACAGTCTCCAGTTACTGCTGCTGCTTCATTGTCTATCTCTAGCTGCAATCAAGCTTCTACCCACTCCTCTGGGAGTCTGGCTCTTTCTAACACATCAACAGCCTGCATGAAAAGTCTATCACAAAAAGAATAGAGAGCCGTTTTATATTCTAAGTCATAATTATACTTTGGGGGGTAAACGTTCAAAATGAATTATTGTTTGTTAGGAGTTTTTCATTAGGAGCATAAGGAATTTAATGTAGGCACATTCTCTTGTGCTAAAGTAATGTGACATAAAGAAACAAAATTCTGCCACAAAATTGCAGATAAATTGCAGATAAATTGCTGATAAGAATCTACCAGCGCATGAAAGTGAATACACGGACAAGTAAAATCCTCAGTCAGCAGAGTAAATTTCCTTGGCTGCACTAGGGAAACACAGCAAACTTTGTTCTGATCTGTGGTTTTCTACCCAAGTATAAACAGTGCAACTGACTTTTTAAAGAAGTAAAATACTGGGTTATCTGTTCCGATTGTCAATCTTAAATCTGAATAATGTCTTTTATAATATATAAGCTGTTTAATGTGCGTTAGGTAGAGCTGACTTTTTAAAAACTCCATTACCATATACATAAAGCACATTTGACCTTGAATGCAGTTCAAGGTTTGCTTCCCTTACTGTGTTTCAGAAACTCACTTTGGATGACTGCAGAGGCTGTTTATCCATCCTCTCTGATGATGCTTTGCACCTCCATCACAGGTTTTAAACTGCAGTCCTCTGATGCCAATGGAAGGATTGCCATCAATTTAACAGGACTTGGAATTAGGCCCAGAATAGATAACTATGTGAAGCAATGACAGTGGGATTTATTTACACATTTTTGACCTGTCCACAAACTGTAGAGTAAATCAGGAATGCTGCAGTGCACTTGAAAGAGAAAAAGAAAAAATAGAGACCAAAGCATAAAACCCCAAAACAAATAGGATCAAATTTAACCTCCAATGCTCATAATTGTTTCATTTATGACACTGCCTTGTAGTTGAAATCTCCATTCTTCTCCAGAACATGACTCCTGTTAGTCTAAGAGAAAACCCAGTCTTTGTTGTGACTTATTTTGACAGCTTTAATATCATTTTCCACCTGGCATCTGGAAAGTTTTCCATTTTCACTTTGCACCAACGTCTCACTTTTGTTTCCAAGTATGTGTCGTGTTCACACCGCACCTGTCAGCGGTGTGTGTGCCTTAGCACCGGGCTGCAAACACGCACGCCTTCCCTTTGCTGCTACCCCAGGGACAATCACTACCTTCAGCACCTCTTTTGCAGTGAGATATTGCCCCTCTTAATAATGACAGCACCAGATAACCTCCTTCACACCATCACCTGCTTCAGAGAAAGCGGAGGTACTTTTACAATCCTCTAATTCATCTGGCTCCTTTAAACGTTGCTCAGGTCTTGAAGCTGTCTCTAAATGTTTGAAGTCTTTTTGCTGTATTTTCTGGTGCTCCTTGTTCCTTTGGTGTCCCACTTTCACAAATATGGAGCATTTCTTCAGAGACCACCAAAAACCTTAATTAAAAAAAAAAAAGAAGCATGTCAGCTAATGAGTGAGATAAAAAGTTATGTTCTTTTTGATGCCGTTCTAAGCAACTGAATCTTGCAGATTCAGAATTAAGTCAGTGCTTCAGTGCTGGCCTGGAATATTCTCAGGAGAAAACATACAGTTTGATCACTTGGAAAGAAGAATATTATTAATTTTTTATCTTTTTCCTCCAGACCTCTGGTTCAGAGATGGAAGCTACAGTTTATTTTAGCAGACATCACTTAGGATTCAGATCTGTCTTGGATTCCTTGCCTACCCCAAAGAACATGATTCTCTGCTCTGTATTGCTACAGTATATAAAACTAGTCAGTCTTCAGACCCAGGAACATCAGAACATACAGTCCTTCTTGTTTCCTTGCTGAATCCCCAAAGTAGAGAGAAGATGGGAGCACTGCAAAGCAAAGCCAGATGGAAATCATGCTGGAGGGTATTGATTGACTAGTGTCTAGGCAGGCTATAAATTACCACTTCTCATGCAAAGAGGAGGGTGAGCAGAGCTGCAGAGCTGTCTCGGGGCACAGTGCTTGGACTGTGCTGTTCATACAGGATCAGCTAAATTCGGGTTGTGCCTAAGGCATGGGGAAAGCCAGACTTTGCTCTCTCTCCAGTGCTCATCTTGACTTTGAGGAGACAAATCATCTCTTTAAATATGAGTGATTCTTGCAGCAGAACAAAAGCAACTCCTATTAGGTTAAAAGACTTAGTTCTTTCAAGTATTGTCTATGCTCTTAAAATCCTGCTCCATACTGTAAATGATTATAATTATATGGCATGACAAGAAACCAAGACCTAATAGAGTACAGATGTGGGATATATAAAAGGGGAAGCATTTAACATAAGCTTATTGGAGCTGAAAGTACCAGGGATGATTGATTGCTTAGAAACAAGTCAGGGAAGTGGTCTAAAAATTATTAACCATAATTGCAATTTGTCTATTAACTCTTTCATCTAACATTATGATATATTTAGAAACAATCCTGCCATCCACTAATACACAATTTGCTGCTTGTGGCAAACAGCAGAGCTGCGTGCCTGGGTCTGTTTGGAAGAAAGATGTTTATTGGGAAGCATATCACTTCTTCCATTTCAAAAGACATTAGTGTGGTTATACAGTTAACTACACCTCAGTGACTTCCACTGTTTTTACAGAATACTCTTTAATCCAACAGATAGCAAGGAAAGTTTTTAATTCAGCTCCCCTTAGTTAGTTATTGCAAGTATCTGTTGCTGTTTGTGCAAAGGTGGAAGAGTTAAAAATTTAAAAGTCAGAAAGTTCTCCTCTTGTTTTGACTAAACCGGGGGAAACGTGCTGGAGCTGTGCAGAATTTGATTGCCAAACACAGAGAGAAGATACACAGTGAGAAAAGATAGTAAAGATTTAACCCAGCTGATGTAAGAAACAAACTCCAAGGATGCCCATGTTTCCTTCTTTTATCACATTGTTAATCTTTAATCAGGAAAACAGTTCTGAGAACAGCTTTCTGTGCACAGCTGAACAGACACCAAAACTTGGAAGTTAAAAGGATGACCAAAGAATGAGACTATTAAATGATTATCTTAATAAATCTGTGAGTAAGATGTACAAACCCAGAGGAGTTCAAATTCTGCTTCCACGTGGATGTGCAGCAAGTACACATAAAATCTTGCAAAATCAGCAGTAAGGAGGTGGTTGGTGGGTTCAGAAGAGCAGTGGGTTCCTGTGCACTTTTTTTCCAGCTCAGATAACAAATCTCCTTGGGCGTTAAATTTTCTGAGGAGTCCAAATAAACTTCTAAATCAAAAATCTAAAGAAATGAAGAAATTTTAAAGAAACATTTACAATCTGTATACTAATGTCACTTCACTGAACAGCATGTGGCATAGTCGTGGTACTTATCAGTAGAAATACCTTGAATCTCCTTAAATCTTAGTTTTCTGCACTGTTACAATGTTGAACCATCACCTAAAGTCCACAACCAGGTAGCCCCAGGCTTCTCTATCCACTGGTAATGGAAATATGGTATAGCAGGCTTAGTTGTACATCTTTTCTGCTCCTGTAAGAAGAAACAAAGTCAATCTTATAGTCCTTGTAATCTTAAACATCAAGATGAGGCAGTGTCTAGAAAGCAGATGAGAATACCTGAGTTTTGTGAATCATGATTATTACTCTATTCAAAGCTGCCTCTACAAACTGAAAGTCTCTTGCTCTGTCATTCATACCCATCTTTTGTTTAAGATCTTCTGGGCAGAGCAAATCTATGCTTCACCCAAAATAAAAAGGTACTTAATGCTATTTAGAGCAAATACCCGAACTCTACAAGGTTAGCAAGTGCATGGGGTCTTTTATTTTATTTGCAGAATGCAAGTATTTATACACAGTGGTTTAAGCACACATGTAAGAAGCTTCTCTTTACATAAACAGTATTCATATTCATACATATCATCCTGAATCAGTAAATTTGGGGACAGTTACAGATAGTCAGTCAAAGATGCACGTATAGCAGTCAGAATCCTGTCTTCCTAAAAGCATAAGAAAAAAAGCATGATTTCCAGGGTCCAGTTTAATTCCTGATCTCTTTACTGTTTGTAGAAATAATCGCTATTGTGGCATCTGTCTGGTAGGAACCATTTACACTGACCAAACAAAAGTGCCTTTACATTGAAAAAATCCCATTGTGGTCCAGTGATGTTGCCTTATCCCTGTTAGAATAGTGCTAAGCAGAAGTGTACAGTATGTAGGATTTCACCTGACCTGTTAACACTTACATAAGAGTTTTCCAGTAAACAGAGGATTCGTTACAGGGACTATTGGTTTTTGTGCAATGTTGATTTTCCTCCAGCTGCCAGGTTCAAGAACCAAAAGGCATGTAGTGCTTGACATAGGCACATTTGCCTTCTGACCTTTAGGTGTAGCTTGGCTTTCATTTCTGCATAATCAGCTTTTCTATCCTGTTGTTTGGCTTTTTGTGTTATAAAATGCTTGAAATATTAATCAAAGCTGTTTTCCGGGGGAAAAAGTATAGAACAAATCTCACTTGAAAGAGAAAACATGGTTCAGCCCAAGTTGCTGCTTTTGTGTTGCTATTGAAGGAGAAAACAGTTTATATGTAAGTAAATGCTTTCCATTTCAAGTAAGAACTTACTATTTGCATTACAGTAACCTAAGGAGAGCCCAGCAGGGACTGTCTGTGGCACAGACAAAAATGAGAAGAGATAATGATCACGTCTAATTAGGTTTTAAGCTCCTCTAGCCATGAACTATCAACCAAACTAGGAGAATTCATAAGAACAGAGAAAAATTGGCATTATCACCTCCCAACCCCCTTCCTAGGAACTGATAAAATCTTGGGGATGTAGTTACATGTCCAAAGTCAAATGGGTAATGCATAGCAGAGGAAGAAACAGAACCTAAACCTTCAGAATCTGCACCCACTCTTACTGGGTAAAGCCATCCTTCTTCAAAGGAGTTAGCTCAAGAAGGACGTAAAGAACTGTGACCAGTGGGTCAGACTGCATGTAACAAGGAACTGAAATGTTGAGGGAGAGCAAAGGTACATGGGAGGATTTAAAGAAAAGAGAAAAAGCCCATTGCACAGGTAGAGCTGGGTAACCCTGGAAGGACAGCTGCCAGCACTGCCAGCAGGCAAAGCATCACAGACAAATGAACGGCATGCAAAAGGAAGGAGCAAGGGGAGCCATGGCTGTCCCATCCAAGAAAGAATAAACAAATCCAGAATATGAAAAGGTGCTTCTTCCATGTCATTTCTTTAGGCCTGAGGAGGTGAGGTCTCTGTAAAAGGGCACAGTTAGCAGAACACCAGGAAGCCAGAAACTCTTGAACAAGAGGTGCTTGAACTCATGTGCAAGGATTTGTCTGTTCCTTACCCAAGTAGGCAGTAGGAAGTCCTTGACAGATGCAAACACACACCTCTGTACTCACTCCAGCAAAGGCAACCATTTTTTATTTGCATTTTGGAGTCATCTGGGCTTTGTATGACTGAGCAGAGCAGATGCTGGAAGGTAAAGGGAAACACAAACCTTTTGTTGACTGGTTTTCACTCTGGTTAGTATGGTTTGTCCCCTTCTCTCCTGGCTGTGGTTCTGCTGTTCACCCAGCAAAAAAAACCTGCAATAACAATGCAAAAATCATAATTCTATTGTGGCTAGGGTAAAGTCAGTCAAAGTCTTGGTGTGCCCAAACTCTCCATATGACTGAGACCTTCTGCAGTAGATGAGAAGACCTCTCAAGCTAACAGAATTACACAACCTGGCCAGTGGTCAGGTACCTGTGGTTACAGAGCTCATTACTCACATATTCCCACCAATCCTTGACAGGATTTTTTTTTTAAAAAAGGACAGTTTTCCTTTAGGGAAGAGTCCCCAGATTAGAGTCACAGCTCAAGAAATGGCCTCAGAGGAGTGACTGCTCATCAAAGTTAAAATTACATGTCTCAATCCCATCTCCAGAGCTGAGCCTGTAAAATTGAGCTTAAAAATAAAGTAATAATAAGAACAATAATAAGTATTTCATCTGTCAAAGCAGAACACCAAGTGAGAAAACAACATGCCCATGGTGTAATGTCAGCCTTGGCGTGTACTGTGGCACAACCAGGACTTTCCCTAAAACATAGCTCAGGATTGAGCACTTGAACCGGTACTAAACTAAGCATCAAAGGTTGGTGACTTTGTTTAGAGGCCTTAAACATGCACCAGTGCATCTTCCTGGCTGCTGAAATTTGCTTCCATTTGTTTTGAGAAATGTCTGTCGTCAAGCTGAAAATGCTGGACAGGCTAATGGAAGTACAGTCTAATCGTGATATATCCCAGGTTTTTTTTCCACTCCTCCGCCCTCAGAACAAGCCACTTCAGTTTGTACACGGGCCAAAAAACTTACATCACCTTTCGCAGGGATCCATATCTTGCAATATGCCCAACCCTGTATTGATTGGGAAAGGAGGTAAGAAGCAAGGTAAAGGCTCTGCCAGCAGGCTGCTGTTACCTGTAGTGGCTGGTGGCAGAGGCTCAGTCTCACGGCTCATGAAGCACACGTGGAGAGGAGTGTGCAGCACCGTGGCAGGGCCTCCAGACCTCCTGCAGACGGGTCAGTGCTGAAGAAGTGCCTGCAAGGAGAGGAGCTGTGAGGCGGAAATATCGCCCGGGTCTGGAACGAGCACTTGGCTCACTCACAGACTCTTTTGCAACCGCAGGCAATTTGCACGGTTCACGTTTTCTTTTGGAAATCGAGAGAACAATCCCTGTCCTGCTCTCTGTGAGCTTGCAAGGGCTGCCCTTGGATCTGGGCTCTGTGGCATCCAGGCCAGCAGCTGTTGGAGTGTGCTCAGCTCCACCACAGAAATAACAATCCAGAGGCAGTGCTCTTCCGTTAGTAGAACAACTCAGACAATCTTTAAAACACCTAGAATTTTATATCAAAATACCCAGGTGACAAACTCTTTGGAGGTGACAATATGTAGAAGAATTAGCAATGGGAGGGAAGTAGAATTTCTCAGTATTATTACATGTCATTAGCAACTTTCAGATCTCACTGTGAGTGCTTTGTTGCACCTTGGTTTGTAGTGATGAATTAAGCTTTCTAATGACACTTTTTCTGAGCATCTAAAAACCTTTACATTTATCGAGTTCTAGTAAGTCTGTAAAACCTGAGGTGCTCAAAAATTTCTGTTTTGAACAACCTGAATAGTGTCCATCAAAGCAAACATCCTAAAACCCCTCCTTTCAAGGCACTTGTTGAATATTATCATCTTAACATGTCAGATTCACACACGTTGAAATTATTTGACAGCTTCCAAGAAGGCACCTGATAAGCATCACATTCAAGTGTCAAGAAGCACAGAGAAAAGTGCCAAAAAAAGTTAAATCAGGAAAAATTGTATCAGCTATTAAATGAGCATAATAATGCAGTTACTACTAAAAAAGGTTTCTCTTTTAAATGGAAAATAAACTTTACGTTCAAGACAATTCTTTTTTAAGGGCCTTACATTTCCCCATACCACCTCCCATGTTTGCCATTCGTGAAATCTTCCAGAAAATGAATCCAGACAGTAGCACTCACTGGTACTGGGTGAACACCTCAAGACCACTGTAATTGAGCCATTGGAAGTGCTACATCTGGGTTTTTGTGTGGGAGACAGTGGGTGTTATGAGAATTCACCATCTTCACATAAAACCTTTAATGCCTTCTGTTGGCTGTCTGAAAGCTGAATCTCTAAATGAGAAGATTCTTGAAAAAAATCCTGGCCTTGATTTGCATATGCTCCAGTTATTTCATTGCACCAAATACTATGTGTGTTTTATATAGGGGCTTGAGGCTTACTGTGTGTTTGTGATATGCTTTGAGATCCTCTGATGGGAGGTGTTACCTAAATACAAGTAATTTGATGCTGAAGTGTCTAGAATTCCCAGTGGACATCTGTACTCGAGCCCTGCTGCCATCACAAATGAAAAACATTTGGAATCCTTAATGTGATTTTTAATGGACATATGTTCATAACACAGTGCCACCAATTTGGCATATTTAGTGTCTTCTCAAGAGAAGCCCACAGTTTGTATAGCAAGATTGTGGGAGGTTAGGATTGCAGTGTTAGAAAATTTGCACAACACCTGCCTGACTGTAATTTAATTGGCAGAAATTAATGCTCTGGGTTTGGGAATTTTTTTCCTCCTCTCAAAACCTAGAGACACTAGGACTGATTCTGCTGCATTACCCTGTTGTATGTAAGCTTTTATTCTGATTTTGCTTGTGCTGCAATATGACCATTTCCTGGTCTGCTGTCTTCCTGACAACTGAGCACTGCGGGCTTGCTCTGTTTTTTCTGTGTACACTGACTTACCTGCCAGCAAAAAAGCACTCAGTACTTTTGTATGTCTCTGAAAAAGGGTTCTGTCCAGTATTACTAAAGATTATGCTCCATTTTATTTTTAATGAAGGTATTTTATGATGTGTTTTAAAAGGAAAATATTTCTGATCAGCTCCACCAGCAACACAGTATGTGGACTCTGAAGACAAGCACCAGCTTTGCCATTATTAAATTGGTTTTGGATTTTATCTTTGCTTACATCATAGCCCTATCTGGAGCAGCCTTTAGCACCTCTTATCCCACCAGATTTTTGTTTTCTTTTTCAGGAATGTTTGGCCTTGCCATGCATCAAGGACAGCCCCTGTTACCTCACTATTTTCTTCCCTTATTTACAGAACATTATAAAAGGCTTTGCAGGGGAGATAGAGAGTACAGTCCTAGGGGCTGTTCCCGCAGTGGGAGAGTCAGCTCTGCAGTATTGTAGACTTGCAGGGTAGGAAGATGAGTTGCAGTCCTGATCCCTGCTGCTCTGCCAGCCTGGCTTTTGGGGGTTGAAAGTCACTGCTGGCTGCCCCAGCAAGAACCTTGCTGGGAACATCCAGCTGCCTCACAAACCTGAGCAACAGCTGGGTTGTGAACACCCTTTATACAAGATAAGTCAATTTTGTTGCTTTATAGAACTCCTTGAAACTTAGTTGGGAATCCCAGATTTCCTGTTCTGCAAACTACCAATGACAACCATGGTAAAAGCCCCATCAATACAGAAAAGTCACAAAAGCATTACCAGCATTGTCCAGGCTCCAGATGCTTTGGTAAGATTGGATATAAATAGAGTAAGAGGAAATGGCAGCAGGGTTATTTTTACAGTTCTGTTTGTCTGAATTACTTGAGTCTTCACACACCCAGACTGCATGGACAAATAGATACAAAGACCACATTTCTTTATGGTCACAGTGGTCTAAAATGGAATAAGGGAAGCTAAAGACAGGCCTGCAGAAACAGAAACAAGAGCGCAAAGTGTCTGAGGTCACACTGAGATAACACCCAGCATTATAAGAGTAGTAGTGGCTGTTGATATCAGATACTGCCACAACTGACTCAGATAGAGACTCAAGTCTGTCTGTGTGCACATGAACACAGTGCAGTTCACCCACAGAACAACAGCGTGCAGCCCCACTCCTGAGCAGTTCTGTGCTTTTGCTATGA